TGATATAGAAGTGATAAACATTGCTGATCTTTTAGAGGAGATATGCCAAATTCTCTACTTTTGTTGAAAATTATAGCTAAAAGTATTGAAGAGAAAAATATTGTATTTGTAAAAGCTCAAGACAATGAAAGTGTTTTCAGTTGTTCTTCATAGAACTAAAAAGCTTCAGACACTTGAGTCGGGAGTTTTTCACCACTACTATTACCAAAATAATCTTTTTGGCTTAAATGCCAAACATGCAAGAGAGTCCACCAAGAAGAAAAGCTTGATCCAAAGCACAAACCAACTATATACACTCTGCTTCTCGGTATTTCATGTATAAATTTTCATTAACAACAGCACCAATAAAGAACATCAAATATCTTTGGACTTTTTAAAGCTTTGAATCTTCAAACTGTTTTGATGCGGTCTTAGTTCAAGTGATCATTAAAAAGAGTTGTATATAAAAATCATATTTTAATTAAAGTTCTTATTAGTTTGTATTTAAAATATTTTTTTTTAATATTAATAGTAAAGTTTATATTTAAAATTATATATTTATTACTAGAAATGTTAAATATTTAGTATTATTTTAGATATGAATTATTAGTTTGATACAGTTTATACTATATATATAAATTTTTATATTTTAATATAAATTAAGAAAAGTTTTTTTTTTATATTTATTTAAATATTATATTTATTAGAATCAATTTAAAAAAGCTTGATTTAAACCAATTTAAAAAATAAACTATTTAATATTTCTATTTATTACAATAAAGCTAATAAATTTTATTTATATAATTACAAAATAAGTTAAAAAAATACCATATAGTATAAACTATAATATTTCAAATATGATATATTTTGTAGCTAAAATCTAAGTTAGTACTTGAGTACTATACAAGAAGTATATTTTATAAAGAATAATATATATTATATAGTTAATATCTAAGTACTGTATTTTACTTTATAAAAAACCTAGATATTTTGTATTCAATTATAAAAATTTTTATAGATATAGAGATACTATAGTCAAGTCATTTGGGGGATTGGCCTTGACCCCATAATGCAGATCAGTTGCTGTCATACAAGATATACAACACATAATGAAGAATAAACAAAGAAAACATGTTAAAAAACACATGATAAATGAAAACAAAGGAAATATACAAATACAATAACAAATTAGTCACATAAAGCAAGAAACAATAAAAAATACTAAAACAAAACCTATAATAGCAGAACAAGTAGAGAAATGAATAGTAGCAATACATATAGAATCGAGACAATATAAAGCAGAAAGAATTAAATATACAGAACTTGCACTCAAGAAAAGAATTAATACAGTATATCAAAAAGTGATACAGTTAGAAATCGATCCAACAGAACATATTTTATTAGACAAAGTAAACAGTACTACAAGAAATCTATGCATAGCAGAAAGAAAAAAGCTATTACACATAATAAAGAAAATTGGTCACTAAGCACGCAAAAGCTAGAATAGAAACAGGATAGATGAAAAGACTAGATAAGCAAAGAAAATATTGACAAAGATAGTATAATAAAATAATATTAGAACTATTATTACAGCACTTTAGAAAATCAGTAAAATTAATGAAAATAAAACAATATGAAGAAAAAAGGAAAAATAAAATTAGTAAAGAAATAAAGAAGATGCAAGTTCGACAGAAAGCAAAGCTGCTAGAAAAAAAATATAAAGAAACTAAAGAAAAAGAAGAAATATTGAAGAAAAGAAATATAGAAAAAGATATTGAAGGCCTCATAGAGAAAGAAACTTTAAACAAACTAACTGAAGAATCAAGACCAAGAATTCTGACATTAATCTTAATAAAAGAGAGAAACTCTGTCAAGATACAAATTAAAAATCTATAAAGGAAAATACTAAGATAGATAGCAGAGTTTTATTTCAAGTAAACTTAGAAAATAGACAAGATAATATTAAAGATTGGAAAAAGAAGAAAAAAGAAATCTTGAACAAATAGAGTAGACAAATTAGATTATTAATGAACACTAGTATAAATAAAGATAATACTATACAAGATGCAACAACAGAAAGAATAATAGAAGTCAAGAATTGGAAAAGAAAAAAGAAAGACACCAGGTTTAGAATAGCAAGAAAAAATATAAGAAAAGTAGCCAGAAATCAAAAGAAGTATTTTAAACTACAAAAGAAGCTATACAGAAGAAAAGCAAGCTTATTAAATAAAAAAGAAAAAGCAGATACACAGCTCTGAACAGTCAAGAATTGGAAGAGGAAAAAGAAAAACTTTATATTGAAAATAGTAAAGGTTTTTAGAAAAACCAAAAGGTAAAGAGAAGTATACAAAAATCTGAAAAGAACTTATTAGAAGAAATGTAAAATTATAGAATAGAAAAAAGAAAAAAGACACAAAGTCCTGATAAAAGAGTATAAGAAGACTCAAACAAACTAACCAAGACCTAGAAGTAGAAGAAGCTAAAGTAATATTAAAGAAACTAGAAGAAGGAAGAAGCTGCAGACGAATACTTTTAGAGGAAATCTGTATAAAGAATATAATAAAGAACAAGAAGAATAAGGTGAAGCTTAGGAACTAGAAGAAACACAAAAAGAAGGAAGAAAGTAGAAGATTGAAGCACCAGAGCAGACTATCAGTAGAAAGAAAAAAATGAAATATGAAAAGATAAATTGGGGTAACTATAGTAGATCACAGAAGAAATTAAGTATTAGCAAAATTTTTAGAATTTATAGAATAGAGAATATACAACGTAATAATCTTATTTTAAGATTAGCGATTCGATGTTTGGCATTGTTCACAAGTACTGGCCATGGCCAAAGCATAATTACATTATGGAATATAAATATAATTAAGTAGTATTGACAAAGTAGGTAGTTGTCAGCTAATGATCAAAGAAAAATAAATTCTTAGTGAGTTAAGAATTCAGAGGGTAGCCAAAGACTATTGAGGCAGGTCGTATCTGGGCAAAAGCCAGGGGTGAGTCTCTAGTTTGATTAGATTAGCGATAGCTATAGATAGAAATATATAATTCTTGAATAGCTTAATTTCAAATAAACAGAAGCAAGATTACCAAATTATAAAAAAAAATTATTATTCTTGTATTGCAAGATAATGATTAAAAAGTGTAATAATCAAAACAATAATTATATAAGTAGTAGCCAATCAGATAAGTGAAAGCAAACAGACAGACTTATATGACACTATTGATTAAACAGTGTTATATAAAAAAAAACTAGCCAATAGATCATTTTTTAGTATTCATATACTATAAAAATAATTATAACTTTAGTATTTTTTTAGTACTTATATATAGTATTATATATTTTTTTCACTTAAGCAGGCTATGTTAGTGACTCAAGTTTCAATTTTATAAAAAACTACAGAATTACAACTCTTGCTATAACTTATTACATTAAACTTAGATTTTAATATTTTATAGCTACTTCATAACTAATCAAAAGTTATTAGAGTATCTATAAATAACATGCTATACTAGCAAGATACGATCAATTAATAGATGATTCTTTAGTAAACTAAAGAATGATTATAGTATAATACAATGCAGTTTTACAATATAAGGAAGGTGGAAGTATTATAGACAGATTAAAGTTTCTATTAATAAAACCTTTTAATAAACATATAAATTTTTATACAATTATTATTATTTGAACTTTGCTTTATAAAGAATAAAATAATGTAAAAAAATCTTTATATCATATATATTTTTAGATATAAATAATTAATATACAAATAAAAAAGGTGTAGCGACTTAGTGAAGTTGGTAAGTTGTTGTACCCCAAGTAGAGGTTGGATCAGGAATATTTACGAATAAAGACGTATATTCATTGAACATCCACTATTTGATTATACAGAATCTGTAAATAGTCACGGATTAAATCGTAGATATTCAATGAACATCAGTGTATTTTAGAGCATAGTAGGCTAAATTCAGGACCGTGAATATAATTTCAGGAAGGGCAATACAAAAAAGTTAGTAAGTTTATTGTCTTGCTTTATAAGCTGTCAAAGTAATTCAGGAATCTACAAAGTAATCCAGAAGTTAGATAAAAGGTATATTTAAACGTTTAAATTTAGCCTATAAGGCACAGTAAATCGATTCTGCAATTTATGCGTAAAAACTTATTCTTCATAATCCCAACTACAGAACTAATGAAGAAATTTGACTATAATATAGGCAAATAATATGAAGTTATAAGTCTTTATTAGTTATTAGTGTTATAGGATAAAATTAAATATTTATTTTTAGATTTTTCAGTTTTATTGTGATTTTTTTTCAGTTGCTTTTTTTTTTTGATTCATAGTAAGTCAGAATTTTGTAGCGACAAGATTATAGTTTGATGTTTAAAGTCATCGAGTTTCATGATAAAGATTTCTGCTAATATTAATTTAATTACAAATATAATTATTTTTAGTTGTTTTTTTGTTTAAAATTTTGATTAGCTGCAAATGCATTAATATGTAAATTGTATTCATTATTGCGAGTGCAATGCGTTATTACCCTAATTGACTGGTTATCATATAAACGATATAGAATTTTCTTCTTGTATATATACGTAGGATCCAAGTATTATTCAAGTTGGTCTGAAAGCTTTTTTAATAGTATTATAGACAGTAGAGTATGTGTAAGATCAGATGTGGCGACATATATATAGTTTGAATTCAAATATGTGATGATTAGTATCACATTAGATATTTATAGTGATATCATAATTGGCAAACTGTATGCCACTATTCATTATACAGGTCTTTCTAATCGAGTGTAATAGCGATTATCAAAAAATTTTAATATTACTTTTTAATTATCGCTATGTATTGCCTTACTCAAACAAACTAGATCATAACTAACTGCTAATTGCTAATTCATGGGTTTCTTTTTTTTTTAAAAAAAAAATTAAGGGTAGCAATGTTTCGCATTAGCAATTAATAATATTTATTTATTATATGTATGTATACATATTATTGGTATATGTTTTATAAACTTTAAATGCTCAAAGTTATTTGTTGCATTAGCTATCATAGTTAAAGATTCCACCTACTACTGGACCATTTCTTTTAAGAAATATTAAAGTTTCAAATACCTCTAGCTTTAAAGATATTCTTTTATTTGTCATAATATTTCCAGCATCACTAAAGAGTCTCTCACTGGCACCTGATGTTGCTTGAATAGCAAGATATTTTCTTGCTAGTTCGGAAAGAATGCAAAAATTTTTTTTGTTATTCTTCCACCAAATAAGTGCATCTTGATCCTTTAGAATTTCTTGTAATATCAAATATCTGTCAACTTCATCCACATTAGAACTAAAAGAACTAAACAAACTTTCACCATATAATTTTGTTTTTTTTTGTTTTTTGTGTGAAGGTTTACTTTCTTGTCTTTCGGGTAAGTTTGTTACATGATACTTAGACTTTTCATTTTCATATAAACGTCGCAATTCATTAATTGTTTCACTTTTTTTTTGCTCAGTTATAAACAACAAACTTTTCCAACGTGGATCTAAGAGTGAAGCAACAAGTCCATCAAGCTTCAAGTCATTATAGTAATAATTTAGTACACGATAAAGCTTACTTTTAATCGTATCAATTAATCCAAAAGTATTAATTGGATTATTAATTTTGATTTTTCGTTTTGCTTTTGATTCATTTTCTTTTATATCGTCCTCTATTTGTCGTTCTTTAAATGCATCATCTAATTCATCTGAATTTTCATCGTCATCAGTAGGGTTTGAAAAAGGACTTAGATTTTATTTTATTTTTTGTATCGCAGAATACATGTAACTCACGGTTGAATATTTACTCCCTTCTAACTTTTCTATAGCTTCAGTGAATTGTCCTAGGATAGGCATAATATCTTCAATAATTGACCATTCCTTAGAAGCTAAATTAATTTTTTCTAAATGTTTTCCATCTTTTTTAGTTTCATAATCAACATTTTTTACGTTCATAGCGGTAGAGAGAATATCAATAAACAGTTTTAAGGTTAAAAGTCGATCCCAAGCATAAAAAGTACTTAACCACCGTGTTTCGCAATCAGTAAGTATATGATATAAAACTAATTGTGATTCATTTGTAGATTCTTCCTCAATATTCATCCTAGACATATGTTGTTTTTGAATATTTAGTAACTGTTCATTTTGTTTAGGACAAGCAAAAAAATTTATTAGTTTTTTTGCTCTTGCAATTAGAACCTCAGCCGGCAACATTCCTTTTACAACCACCAACTGAATAGTATAAGCCACACATGGGACTTTTTGAAGCCAAGAAATTTGTTTTAATACTTTCTTTATATTGGCACCATTATCAGTTGTACAACAGAATACCATGTCTTCTAATTTCCATTTGTATATAATAAATTCAAGAGCTTCTTTTATATTATTACCTGTATAAGGATACGGTAAATGTTTAATTGCTAAGATAACTTCTCTTAATTCAAAACTAGACGTTATAAAATGTGCCGTAACTCCAAAGAACCCCATCTTAGAACGAGACGTCTATAAATCACATGTAAGCGATACCCAATTTGCTTCATATTTTAATATTTCGGAAACTTTCTGACTAACATAACTTCTAGATTCAAAAATCTTATTTTTGAATCTTTTATTACTAAGAATATTGAAATCCAGATTAAGATTGTTGATAAAATGTCGAGACGAAAAGGATTCAAGTGCTTGTAAAGGTAGATTATCTAAAATAATCCATTCATAAAGAAGTGATTCTAGATATTTTTGCTGTTTTTGGGTTATTAGTATACGGGATTTGCTTTTAAGAAGCTTTTTAATTACTGTATTAGGTAAGAAAGTATTTTTAAATATTTGATGTATAGTCGCTAAGTGATTAATAATATTTCCAGTTGGACTTTTTGTTGTAATTTTAGAATCACAGTTTAACGAATCATCTTTAGATAAAGATCCAGATGAGGATACAGGTAAAAAAGTTGATTCTTCTTATAAAGGTGCTGATGCAGAAAATTCTTCTGATGAAGATGCAGATGAAGACATGGATGAAGTAGATTCTTCTGATGAAGATGTAGATAAAGACATAGAGATTTTTTTTGATGGCGATGAGTAAAGAAATTGAATTTACAAACAAATGTATTTATGTATTTAATCAATTATTAAGAAAAAATATTTATATGCTTGTCTATATTTATTTTTATAGATCATAATTAGACAATATATTAGATTAATGTAATTATTATACTAAACTTGTTAGATGTAAGAAGATCAAAAAGTCTACTATTCGAATTGATATGAGTAAGATAAATAAATTTACTAGACTCAGATTTTTAGTAACTAGAGATGTGAGCACAATGCCATAATTTGTCATAATTATCTTGAATTATGGTATTTTTTACTATAATTAAATAGAATTATGACTAATTACGACATTGTGTTCACATCTCTATTAGTAACCCGAAGTAATTTAATATTATTACATATTTATTTCTTAATTAGGTTGATAAGTAGTAAAAAGATGAGATTCTGCTATACTCAGATTTATGCAAATAGCAGAGACAATGCCCGATCCAGAGTGAACCCCTCTCTCCTGTGATCAATCACAAATTTAATTATTTATATTGGATTCAATTGTGATGGATATAATCCCTCACCAGTTTTAATATACGTGTAATATTAACAGTCTCAGTTGTTGATTCATGCAAGAAATTATTATCAATAACGTAAGATTATATTTATTTTTTTTATGCAGCTAATATTAATAATATTTTTTATTTAGTTCCAGAGACTATAGGAGTAACTACTAATATTCAATTAAAAGTGAATACTCATTTACACAAAACTTACAAACTAATAAACTTTAAATTATACAAAATTCGAGGATTAGATGTGAATAATCTAATCTATTTAGTCATTTTGAATATCTATATAAAAATCTGGATATTTATTCAATATCACCCCCATAGACAATTAAAACCCGTGAACATTTATTGAATAGCTATGACGGATATTCAAAGAACCCACCTATAATTACAGGAAAGTATGGTCTTCATCGGGTGGTACTGAATAAAAATGACAGAAGAAAAATAAATAGCAAAATTGAATAATTGACATAAGCGAGATGTAAAAAAAAAAAAAAATTTGAAAAAATAAATCGGTCAGGTAATGTAAAATGAAAAATCAACTTAAGCAACTTTATGTAGCCTTATAAAACTTTTGAACAAGTTATTTTATGGGGATTTGATTCTATAGCTATTGAATCTACAAAGCACTGAAAGAATGTTAACTCTTCTCTATCAAGATCTATTAAATTTTGTAGGTTCTATTTAGAAGCATTCCGGGAAACAAAAACCAGCATTATTTTTAAATCTTACTCGATAAGGGTTATTACTGATCATCTTTGAGAAATAAATATGTAATAATATTAAATTACTTCGGGTTACTAATAGAGATGTGAACACAATGCCATCATAATTCTATTTAATTACAGTAAAAAATGCTGTAATTCAAGATAATTACGACAAATTATGGCATTGCGCTCACATCTCTAGTTACTAAAAATCCAAGTCTAGTAAATTTATATACCTTACTCATATCAATTCGAATAGTAGAATTTTTAACCTTCTTATGTCTAACAAGTTTAGTGTAATAATTACGTTAATCTAATATATTGTCTAATTATGATCTATAAAAATAAATATTGACAAGCATATAAATATTTCTTCTTGATAATTGATTAAATACATAAATACATTTGTTTGTGAATTCAATTTCTTTATCCGTCGCCATCAAAAAAAAATCTCCATGTCTTTATCTGCATCTTCATCAGAAGAATCTACTTCATCCACGTCCTCATCTGTGTCTTCATCAGAAGAATTTTCTGCATCAGCACCTTTACAAGAAGAATCAACTTTTTCACTCGTATCCTCATCTGGATCTTTATCTAAAGATGATTCGTTAAACAATTCAATGAAAAAACCAAAGGGTAGTCCAAGATTGAGTAGTTGGGTTTGGTTGTGGGGTGAGCATTAAGAATTACCTAATCAAGGTGGAAGAATTTTTATATGCACAAACAAGTTATCAAATGGAAAATACTGTGATTCTAAAATTACAACAAAAGGTCCAACTGGAAATATTATTAATCACTTAGCGACTATACATCAAATATTTAAAAATACTTTCTT